AAAAAAAAAAAGAGGAGATTGATTTACGCAAGTTGAGGATTCAACAAATGAATAGCTCCCCATGTCTCTCATGTATTTGCATACCCAATTATTCCATGCACCATTGGATCTTTCTAGCAATTTTTCTTGAGGCACCAAAATATCGGGCGAAATTGTATGGACTTTCTAGTGACCCAACATCTCTTTCATGTAGCTCATGTATGAATCATGACATATGCCTTGTGATGCTTTCCTAATGAAAAATAATATAATAACAAAGTCATGAATCTTAATAGCTTTAGTATAAGCTGTGCGACGAAGGTAAAGATTCCCAACAAATTTGAATTGAATTTTCCTTGCTAAGATTTGTTAAGGCCCTCCTTCGGTATGCAAACCCTGAACTACCTACATCCAATAGGCAAGGAAGAGGGCCAGTAATTGAGCACCAATTCCATCCAAAATGGGACTAACTGTCTAAAATGTCTTTGTCTATGGAATTTTTTTAATTTTGTTTTATCTTTTTAAGGAAATTTGATGAATAGTCCAAATTTCCTGTCTGTGAGTGAAATGGTTAATACACTTAACTAGATGGAACAGATTAAAACTAAAATATTTACATTTTGAATCATACATGCCATATCTATTGAGGAAAACTTGAAGATATGGAAAATCAGCAATTTTCCTGGATTTTCATCTGAAGTGATTCATTTTCTAAGGATGGAATTTCCTCTTCAATAGCATTACACAAACCTCAATCGTTGCATTTGAATTTATCCTTAATCAACTGATATATTAAATTTTGATTCAGAAAATTAACTAAATTTAGCTGAGGCCTTTTTTTCTTCTTTTTGTTTCTGTTTTGTTTCTTTTTTTTTGTTAAAAAAAAAAATCCTGGTAACATTGTTATATGATGTCAGATGTCATTCCATCAGCACCCACATTTCTGTTTCATGACTGCTTTTGTAAGGACATTACTTGTGAAATTCTAACTTCATTCTTTGATGCCTTCGCTACAACTTTGACAAGCCTGGCATCTTCCTGGTCACACTTTTGTTCCTCCATGTGGCTTTTATGGATGAAATTGTTCGACGCACAAGCCTTTTGATCCTAGAAGCTGTGATAGGCCTTTGGTGTCCTGAAACTGGACTCTCCATTGGGAACTTCTGAAATCTTAGCTTGGGTTTCACTCTGTTGTTTCTACCAGGTAAAGTTATGGTTTGAATTATTTGTTTTAAAACATTTTACCAGTGTTAATAGATATGGAGGGTATTGAAGCTTGAATTATTTTGTTTCTGGAGAGCAATTACTCGTTTTAGAAATGTTTAATGCATTTAAAGAGCATTGGTGACTATATTTTGCATTAGTTCTTTGTGAGGCATCACATTACTTATAGGTTATTTGACGCAGTCAACATGATCTCCATTCTTTCTTCTTTGAATGGTCTCATCTGCTAATAGCGAAATGCCTTTGATGGCCTTGTTGGTTTGGTGTTTTTGCAAATTATAATTCCAGAAACATCTAGTCTGATTTTCAACTTTCCAATTCCATCACGCAAGAAAGTTGTATGAATATGTTGGCCTTGTTGGTTTTGGTGTGTTTGAGAACTATTCAAAAATAACTTTTTTGGAGAGATTTTAAGAAAAATTTGACAAATTGCTTTGGTTGTATATTATTGAAATAGTTTTGGAGTTTGGGATGATTGGCTATTTTTTGTAAGTTGAATTGGATGGGTGTGAGAGAAAAAAGTGTTTGAAAGAGAGAGGGAGAGTGACAAAGTGATTTGATTAATGTGTAGTAGAGAGAAAAGTGATTTGGAATTTTTTCTCAAAAACAATGTTTTGAGAGAATAAACCAAACATGGCCGTTGATCAATGAGATTTTTCTATCCTGGTTGTATGCTTGTTCAAATTCAATCCATAATACTCAAAGTTGGATTTTCATCTTTTTAAATTCTTTATTTTGAAAGTGTTAGTTTCTGAACTTTTTCTCTTGACTTTTCATTTTAGATGAACAAAACGGCAATTATCCCCTGCCCAGTTCTTTTGAGACTATTTTCTTTTCTCTTCAGGAAGAAATTCAGGCCACGTTTTAATTACACATTCCCCACATAATTGTGCAAGATGATGTTTTATCGTTTCTTATAGCTCCTAAAGAAGTAACTCACTGTTTGTACAAGTGAAGTTATTTGTATCTTTGGTTGGGAACCTGTTTCTTATGTTATTGATACCCAAGTGACGAGTTGAGTATGCAACTGGACGCAGCACCCTTGCCTGCTTGAATAAGCTGGTGACATCTTGGGAAGCTAATGAGCACCAGTCTTTTGGAGTGATCAAATGTTTAAGTGGATTGTTCCAGTACGAGAAAATAGGAATAGGGAAGATGGTACACACACATATTCTAGAATGATAGTGGCTGGAATCATAGTGGGGGTGGGTTTGTGTAGATCACAATATCTAATTTTAATATTTCAAATGTGAGCAATTTATTTATTAATAATTAGAAGATCCAACAAAATAGTCTATTCTACTTGCAAATTAATACCATATAGAAACACATTTTTAGCACAGGTACGTTATTAACATTGGTCCAGCCAGGCACTTTTTTTTTAGATTTTATCATTTATATTTGATTTTTTTTTCGCTCTAAGAAAATTTTGAGGAAATAAATACGGAAAAAAATTTGATTGTTTTGTTAACTCATGTGGCTGCTCCAGTTCTATTTTTTCTCTCACTTACCTATACAATTCTATGTGCAAAACCAGCATTTTGTGGCCTTTTGTGCTTTAATGTTAGTTTCTTGTATTTCATACTCAAAGCTACTACTTACTAAAATTTTAATTTTGTGATATTTTTTTTTTTGGCTTTCATTTTCTTGGTTTATAATATATATGTAGCATTCGTTCAACATACAAGTTTGAGCGTTTGACACTCTAACAATGATGCGCAGACTCGAAATATCCAGCTTTCACTTTTGATCCTTACTTTTGGGTGTGGCGATTGCCAACCGGTGACTGATGCCTGCAGCTAAATGTCCTGGGATCTGTATTATTCTGCTTGCAGTTGTTACATCACCTGCCGTTGCTCAAAGATGTATCCTCAGACTGCTTTATTATTAACTTTTGTTTGTGTCCTTTTTTATATAATGCCAGGTTGATATTAAAGCAAATATAAATAATTATAATCAATATGAAAAAAGAAAGCTCGCATTTCATTTTGATTTGAAGGCCACACTAATGCAAATGTTTTTCCCCCCATTATTAAAAACTTATCCTGTTGTCTTTAAGCCCTTAATGAGTTTATTCTAGATGAACCAATACCATTCCAGAAAGAAGTTTACAGTTTCTTCACACAACTCTTTTGTATCAATCTTGTCCCTATCAAGGCAATCACCTTTATTCATCACTGCACGCATTTTGTAAGATGGGTGTTTTGCAAATCTATTTTTGCTTTCAATAACTCCTCCAAAGTGCTGGTGAGATCTTGCAACACTGACTACCCTCCGCTCTGCCGCCCCCCCCCCCTCTTTAAACGGATCTAGATGAAATCTTAGAGAGAATGTGAGTTTTAGAGAGAGAATGTATAGATCTAGGTTTTTGGAAAGTTTTAGAGAGAGAGAGAGAAAAAAAAGTGATTCAAAATGTTATCTTTACGTACTGATATACACGCAGTCCGCTCGAGCGTGGAAAGTGATGCTCGAGTGTCAAACACAAACGTCCGCTCGAGTGCAAGAAGCGAAACTCGAGCGTAGAATACACATTTCCAAAAGTTTTGCAGATAAAGGACCCTGCTCGAGCGTGAAAATGGATGCTCGAGTGTCCAATGCACTCTCTTAGTATTTACAGAACTGCAAAAATAATTAAAGTTGATGACTCCCACTCGAGTGCAAGAATGGCCTCTCGAGCGGAGGAGCAAAATTTGTGAAGCCCGCTCGAGCGCAAGAATTCTCGCTGGAACAGAGCAACCAAAATCTGGACAACAAAGGTTTGAAAAAAACACGCAACCAACCTGTTTCGAACGTACAACTACAACCCAATAACCAAAATATAGGAGAAATAAGGGAAGCAAGATATGAATAACTATTCTAAATCATACCAACTCGAATCTAGAATACAATAGATAACGGGT